ATTTGCTTTTTAAAATATAATTGAACATAAATAAAATTGAATATCAAATAAAAATAAAATTCTTCTTTATCGACGGCTTGAAAATAGAATTCCTCTTGACCGACAACAACTCCGATGATCACCACAAAAACGATGTGGGTGGTACTATCTGGCGGTGGAAAGTGAGGACTAACGAATGTCACATTTCTGATGCGTGTAGTTCACTTTATTGGCTGGAGAGATGGCGTCACTCAAAAACACAATTTTTGATTTCTTTGATTTCACATGTAGAATTAGGCTTCTGGAACGTTTTAAACATTGTAAATTAATTATTTTACAAGATACTTCTGATAATGTATATATTACAAGTTTAATTTTTGTAATACTTTAATCATCAATAACTTTGTCACTTTTACATCAGTTCGCAGTTTAAGAATTTTAGGGTTAGGAAATTTGAAAATTTGAAAAATTTAAAAATGATATAGTCAAGAATTTGTCAAGCTAGGAACCGCAGAATAAAAAAATTAAAAAATTTAGGAATTTGAAGATTTATATGTTGAACTCGCCGCATTTCTACATTTTAAAATTATTAAATTTGACAGTTCGAAATTTTTAGAATTTAGAAGTTTGAATATTTTAAAGATTTATTAGAATTTTGAATTTTATTCACACGAGGAAGTTATGAAAATAATGAATTGTATTAGATCTAACATTAATTTGATAAATAAATTGTTAAAAAGTTAATAATTACTATGAAATGTCATTATATATTAATTCACAGTCATTTTATAATATATCTTTGAGAGGAAGTTAAAAAAATATGTATTGCCTTTTTTTCTGAAAATTATCTAGAAGTTATCTATTATCTTATCTTTTATCTAAAAATTATCTAAGAATGATCTATTATCTAAAAAATCATATATTATCTTATCTTAGAACTAGTGGTTCTAATGTAAAAGAACGAGAATGTATAATGATAATTTTAAAAAATTTCATATTTTTAATTGCAAAGGATGTAGAAGTAAGAAGAATTTTAACATTTTTCTTCATAGATTGCGATAGAATTTTATTTGATAACCGTTTATAAAGGCTTCGATGAAATTGTTACGTGACTGATAAGCTAGTATCGCCACTGCAGTTTCGTTAAAAATATAGATTTCACTGAAACGCTTAGAAATTGTTGTTGACTCTACGTAAGAATGACAGTTACACCATTTGCGTGCAGTCTGGCGTTTACCGAGTCATTGTACTCGGCATGCACAGATCGCTATTACATATGCACATTGCATTAAGGCAGGTCACTGATGCACGTCAAGGAAGCAACTCCCTGCGGATTTCACTGTTTTCTACGCGGAACACTTCATCGAAACATGCATTTTTAACACTAAACGTACCTATAGTCATTATTTTTTGTTTTCGACTACGATTTTCTATTGTGCTTCCTTACAATATTGTAAATTTAGAATAAATTTGTTTAGCAAGAATTATTTGCGGATTATTACTTTTCCAATTATAACTTTTGAGACTATCAAAGTCGGTCAAAATGACCGGTTCACAAGTTTCTTTTTTTAAGTTAGAAAATTTGTTAAGGTAGTGTTCTTGAAATACTGATTTTTATTAAGATGGAAATTTATTGCATATATTAATTCATGTTTAATGGTTGCTTATTTATTTTCAATTTCAATGTATGTGTTAGTTTTGATATTAACATTTTTGTTGTTACATTATACATAGTATTATATAAAAAATAATGTAGTTAGTATAATATAATAGTAATGTAGTAAGTATAATACGGGGTGTCTCACAATTAGTGTAGGTCCCTGAAACGTAGGGTAACTGACGCGAAAAATGGGGTTTGAAGCTTCGTTTTTGAATAATTAAGAAAAAACACGAACTAATCAGAGAGCGAGGATTATTAAGCGTTGGATTACTACGCGTTGGTTAACTACGTGTTAGATTACCATGCGTTAGATTCCTGCGCTTAGAATTACCACGCGTTGCATTGTTACACGTTGGATTACTACGCGTTGAATATGCACGCGCTGGATTACTACGCGCTGGATTGCTACGCGCTGGATTATTACGCTTTGGATATCTACGCGCTGGATTACTACGCATTGGATATCCACACGCTAGATTACTACGCGTTAGATTACCACGCATTAGATCCCTACGCTTAGAATTACCACGCGTTGGATTACTACGCGTTGAGTATGCACGCGCTGGATTACTACGCATTGGATATCCACACGCTGGATTACTACGCGTTGGATTACTATGCATAGGATTACTACGCGTTGGATTACTATGCGTAGGATTACCACGCGTTACTTTACGATGCGTTGGATTACCACGCGTTGATAAACATAATTTGCTCATTCATTTAACAGTAGCATAACATTTATTTAAAATTTGTAATCGTCCATACATTTATAGTGCACGTTTCGCTCTCTCTGTCGTTAGCGACATTACACTCACTTGCATTTATTTGCAACCAGTTGATTCCACTCACTTCCTAATTAGATGCATGCCTCATACTCATTCTTAGTGGGTTTCATTCATACCTTTGCATATTTCACACCTCTGCACAGTTCACTTCCTACGACATATCATCAATTCTATCTTGAATCTGTATAACGTTGCGGACGTGTAATTTTTATGCAATTCTGCACTTTCGTTGTTTGACGGAGGTTTAGAAAGTGCAATTAATTTGTCATGTCTAACGAATTTTTGTTTTTAATGTACTTCAAATTGTTCAGGAATTTCTTATACGTGCAGATAATGTATAGATTAATTAAAGAATGTTATATCGTTTAATTTTAAATTATTCTTTTACTCTTAAATGTTTTTCGATAATCAAGTGCATTGTTATATTTATTTTATTAAGAACTGTGTTGTAAAAATGATCAGAAATTAATAATTATATGTTATTAATAGTTATATCTTGCTAATTTGTCTGGAATAATTATTTGTAATTTAACCCGAATTTTATCCGAATAACGTGCCTAGAGCACTGGGGCTAATAAAAATACTTCCTATACAGAAGCTACTCATTATTTTAACTTGAAAAAAAAAATATAAAATAATCTTTAAAGGTTGTTTTAATATATTTGTCAGCTGATTTCAGTTTTAAACGTTAATTATGAAAATAATTCAGAAACGTGACAAAATTGAAATGAAGGACGATTTTCAGAGAAAAATTCAAAATTCTTTGCGATTTTAGTATGAAGAGCTAAAATGTTAGCTGTTTTAAAATTACGAATGTATTATATTCAAACGCTTTATGTTTTATAAAACGATTCTGACCGTAATTTTGAAGTTTCCATAAGGTATCTCGATTTTCTGTCACTTCCTTCTACAAATATAAGTTATCCTAAAACAACAGTATGGAAGGATGTGTGATATTGGTAAAGTGGATAAGAAGGAAACTACTTCTGAGTTTTCAGATTCGAGAGACTTGATTTAATATTCGAAAATTTTCATTTTTAAAAATTCGAAAATTTAGTTCCTATATTTGGTAATGCGGGAATTTATAATGTTGAGAATTTGGGAATTTTAAATTTGGACTTTTTGGGAATTTGGGATTCTGAAAATTTTAGAAATTTAGAACTTTAGGAATTTAGAAATTTAGAAATTTAGGAATTTAGGAATTTAGGAATTCAGGAAGTTGGGAATTTAGAAGTTTAGGAATTTAGGAATTTTAATTTAGAAATTGAGAAATGTAGGAATTTAGAAATTTAAGAATTCAGGCTTTTTTTAATTTTGGAATTTTGGAATTTAGAAACTTAGAAATTTAAATATTTAGGAATTTAAAATTTAAGAATGTGGGATTTTAGAAATTCAGAAATTAAGATATATACGAATTTACGACTTAGAAATTAGATATAATAAATTTGAGAATTTAAAAATTTGAAAATTTGAAAAGTTTAAATCCTCATTGCGAAATATCCATTACATTCATAAAAGAAATAGAAAAATCATATCCAAACCCTAAAGTTTGCACAGTCTTAAAAACCACAAAAGTCCAGCACCGAGTAAGTCGCTAAACATAAGTCAATGTGTTCGTCCACTTATCAGAGGTTTGAAAGATTAAATACTGAACGTCTACACTCCTCTTTCATTACAGATCTTGATATTGATATCTCGAATACCAATAACATAGCTAAACAAATAAAAATATTGTCTTATATTTTCAAAAATAAATTCCTCGAATACAGTAATTATCATTTTCCTTTTACAATGCATTGTAAATACGTATTCCTTTTACAAAATTAATCAGTAAACATTTTTCAGATCGGTCAAACCGTTTGGTCACAGTAATGCGACATAGAAAAGTGAGCACAGACAGATAGATAATAAGCTGATATAGTTCGTGCAAATTCAATAACTTTTTCATTCATCAAAAAAGATTTTAAATCCAATAACTAATAAATGTATTAACATCGGGCTACTTTAAATTCACAAACCATTTTTTATCTGGAAAATTATCTAGATCATTTTTTATTTGGAAATTATTTAGACAATTCTTTATTTGAAAATTATCTAGGTAATTTTTTATTTGGAAATTATTTAGACAATTTTTTATCTGGAAATTATTTAGACAATTCTTTATTTGAAAATTATTTAGATAATTTTTTATTTGGAAATTATTTAGACAATTCTTTATCTGGAAATTATTTAGACAATTCTTTATTTGAAAATTTAGATAATTTTTTATCTGGAAATTGTCTATATAATATTTTATCTGGAAATTGTATGTAAATATTTTAATTTAATTGTCTTACATTTTTAAAAGTAAATTTCTCGAGTAGAGTAATTATCATTTACTGTATTCCTTTTACAAAATTAAACTCCACGGTTAACCGGTTAACCGTAGCCTACTAATAACATGTACTACACGGATAATGTGAAATCACGGTGAAACAATTTATAAAATTGAAACGTGTAAACTGTTGAGACCGTGACGTAGGAAGGGTGGGGGGCCCCAGCTGACTGGTCTCTCGGTGAAACTGTCTCTCCGTTTGCTGTGCGCCGTTGCTTTGACAGTGTTATATTAACCTCCGGCAGAGTGCAGTCATACTCTTTCTCTTCATAAATTTCTCTTCCATGCTCGACAGAATTTTACACGGAACCCATGTGTTGACGAGCACGCGAAAGCGTTTGGAAAGTTCGTAACACGTCGGAAGACAAATTGTTTAAAGAAACTCAATTTTGAATCGCAAAAATTCCCGGGACTGAGATAAATTCGCGACGCTCATAAATATTGAGACATTCTACGAATTTGTGCAACGTGTTGTGCGCGATAAAGCTTATCGTTACGAGGCAACTTGAGACCTTTCGCAGAGAACGATCGTTTTTTCAAAAAGGGACCGAGGGGTTGCTGAAGAACCGGAAGTGGCTCTAAACGAGCGAAGGGTGAACAATGTCGACACTGCAGAACGGCTTCCCTTGAAACTCTTGGGTTCTTCAAGATAATAATTTGGCCGGTTGAGTCATGCTTTGTCTTCTTGTGCACCGTCAAAAGGTAAATAAACTTTCGTTCATTACGCTTTGCAAGATCTGCGCAGCCTTGGCGCGGTTTCAGTCTACCGAAGTGTTTTTGTTTTAAAATTGCTCTTTAAATAGTCGTTTTTGCTTAATAAATTTATATTATTTATTTAAATAAGTGTGGTTGCTTATTTTATGAAAACATTTGTATACTTTATTATATTCGTATTTCCTTTCAGTTGTATCACTTTTTAAGATTGCCATGTTTTCACATTTCATGAAAAATATCAATTCATATATCAAATGTAGACAAGTGATTTTAATATTTTTTTGCAAACTTTTATTCGAGTTATATATTGCAAATTTTGTAAATTTTCTCAAGAGACTTTCAGTCTCGTTTGTAATTCAACTTCTGAATTTATTGGCGTTTTTCTAATTTTTCGGTTTAATTAGGGTATCTAGGGATTTATGGAGATTGTGGAGGTGGACGCAAAACTTTCAGATAATTATGTAAGAATATATATTCTTACGATTATAGATCTTAAGATTATATATTCTTGCATATATAATTTTAAATAATTATGTAAGTTTTGGAGAATTATTTTGATAAAATTTGGAGGTTGCCATATTATTTGTACTTTAATATATTCTAAGACTTTTAATATTATTAAAAACTTTTTAATACATAATGAAAAACTCACACTTAAAAATCCGTCGACCTTTCTTGATAAAAAAGTAATTTTTTTTATTAAAATTTAGAAGGAAATATAAAGGTACTTCAATATTATATCAAATACTTAACATTTTTTCAATTTAAACTATAAGCATGATTAATTCATAAAACCAATACATGGATGTTTTATAGTAATAACATAACTTTGATCTAATAATGTATAAACAATTTTAATATTTTATTGATATGATTTACATTGATAAAAATAATAAATTTTTTGTAATAATAATATAACGTTGATCTAATAATGTTGAACTGATCTAAATGCAATTATAAAAAGTGAAAAATATTCGGAAAACAATGCAAGGATTTGCTACAGTATTTATACATCGACATATTAAAATGCAAAATGCAGACGTTTAAGTGTTAAGTAACAACTTTACAATTTAATGAATCTATGCATATAATTTTTGTAATAAAAAATTTTAGTTAATAAATAAAGTTAATTAAAAAAGTCAGCAATATTTTAGAACCAATATAGAAAAGGATAGTTGAATTGAAATAATCGAAAATGGACTAAAAATGAAATACTATTATCGGAGGTGAACGAAACAGAATCGCAATCGATCGTTGCAGACGTTTATTTCAATCAACCTCACATTATCAGAAAATTTGTCAGCGGGGTGAAGCAACGTCTATTTCCTGTTTGCCTTAAATTATATTTACTTGATTAATTTAGCTTGAACTAGGAATATTAATTTTGTGCGGTATCATAGCCTGTCTGCTATTTTAATGAAATGATAAAATGTTAAAAATGTTTGTATGAAATTACATTGTCGTTATGTTACACAATTTTACTCTACATAATTCATATATTATTTATAAACTTAATACATCGATAAATAATTTTCGTAAGATCTCGTGTTTATTTTTTGAATTGTAAAACTAATGATTGTATAATTATAAACTTCAGAATTTGAAGGTACTTAAATTGTGATAAATAAATAAATTTGCTAAATAATTTTACTACATAATTATGTTAAAATAAATGATACTAAAATACGTTAATTGTAAAAAGTACTTGTACCTGTTTTAGAAATTTTTGTTCGTACTTCGTTTGAACCCAAGAAACAACTAAAGTGATTGATTAACAAAATAGTTAATTAGTCATTCATATGTTCATTTCAGGATCCTTCGCAATATTATTTGTTTGACTTTGATTGTTAATTACTTATTTATGATAAGTTGGAGTTGAACTCCAGACAGTTTAAAAAAATAACAAGACTCACGATAATTTGAAATGTAAAATGATACTGAAAACATAAAGGAATACAATTATACCGTTACATATTTAAAATGAACTGAAAACATTTCAGAATTAATTAACACATGAATGAAGTGATATTTTAATAAGATTTTGAATTGTTTGAAATGTGGGAATATTTCATATTATTATACGTTGAATAATTGACAAGTTTTTAAATATAATGTTATCTTTCTTCGCATATTTAAAATTTGTAAAAACTGTGTACAGAAGGTTCTGCAATCATGTAGTAAATTCTAAGTGTAACTAATTACATTTAACTTATGGACTTTACTTTTGTAAGCAATAATTATAATATTATACTTAAATTATTACAACAAAAATTATAACATTATTTTCATAACTTTTGTAAGCAATAATTGTTATATTATAATTAAATTGTTACAACAAAAATTGTAACATTATTTTCGTAACAATCATGATTAATAATAATTTTATTATAATATTACAATTATAATTATGAATTACAATATTATTACAATAATTGTTATAACTGAATTTATAATAGTAAATTACAATACTCTTGTGATAGCATTATAATTGAATTAATCTAATTTATAATAGTAAATTATAAACAGTATTATAATAATAGCTATAATTCAATTTATAACAATAAATTACAATAATATTATAATAACTGTCATAATGTAATTTATAATATAATATTATGTAAATTATAACAAGATTATAACTATTACAACATAATTCATAATTATAATCATAATTAATACAAAATTAATACAAAATAAGTTAAATGTAGCACACATCATATTAAACTTTAATCATAATTAATAATTTTTGTACTGCAAAAAATTGCACTACATAAAATTATACAATTTCTTATAAAATTAAAACTCTTCAATTTTTCAATTCTTCAATTCTTCAATTGTTCAAAAATATCAAATTTCCGTAATTATGTAACTATTACTTAAAACTTGCAAAATAACAAGCTCCGATCGATCAGAATATAAAAGACAAGAAACATGCACTAAAAATAATCAAACAAAACATAGAATAGCTCATAAAAGACCCAACAGAAAAAATATATTCCAGCTCGATAAAATTTACAAGAAAAAGAGAAGTGTAAATAACTCGGAGACAAGAAACCTAATATTACGCACTTATCTTTGATAAAAATCAAATTCTAAAAGTTTGCAATCGCTTTAAAATTAATACTATTAATCTGTGGAATAGATGCTTTATTACTGCTCATAGAGTAGCACTTAGTCTCCAAAATAGTAGAAAACTTAATTTTTTTACCGTTGTTGTATATAAGAATATTACATATATTTCTTAAAAAGATAAAGTAGAAGTTATTTTGAAATATAAAACATATACTTCTTTGTATATAAGAATATTACATATATTTCTTAAATAGATAAAGTTGAAATTACTGTGAAATATACTACATATACTTCATTGTATATAAGAATATTACATATATCTTTCTCTAAAAAGATAAAATTGAAATTACTCTGAAATATATCACATATATTTCTTACAAAACTTCAGACATCAAATGCGAATGTATTTCGACATTTATACTCATCACAAAGACTTCGAAAGATGTCGAGTACACTCAACACGAACACCGAGAAGATAAAGAAATTCTCGAATAAAAATATGGTACAATGATGATCTCTGCAATTATTTTGCACGAAATTACGTATGAATTATTTTGTCGTACGAGTGCTCTTGAATCACGTGTGCGATTTATTTCCGCATGGAAGTCAAGTACGTATCATGCTCTCGAAGAGACGAGAGGAGAGCCATTATAACCGCGAACTGAAAGAGAAATCTCTATGCCAGATGCACACGGTGCTGCTTTCACGTTAAAAAACTTTTTATCGGTTGACAAAGGAAACTGCGAAACTCGAGGTGAGCATAATAATTCGCACAAGGTTGCGTGACGGCTCAATTTCATTCTAACGTCCTCCATGATGCTGATTTGTCAGACGATTTTCCTCTTATGTTCTCCACCGTTACAAACTCGACAATTTCTCGTGTTCATGTACTTGTTACAAAGCATTCGTTCCTTTCTTTCGCAAGAATTATTCTTAATTATTCTTAATTGCGATCAGACTTGATTAATATCTTCTGCGCTTAAAACGTTCGCCATTTTCTTTTTTTTACTGTTTGCATTCTTTTCGTAAGTTAGTTCTCATTTTATAAAAGCTTTGTTTATTTGATTTGTTACTGATACTTTATTGATTTGTTCTTGATATTTGTTTTTTGAGTAACTGTGAAATTGTATAATTCTGAGGTTAAAACATTTAGACTCTTAGAGTTTCATTTTATTTTATTAAACTGTAAAAAATTGCTTCAGAGTTCAATCGAATCGAATGTGTGGATGGTGTTAGAATTTTATCTAATTTTCTAAAATTATAATTTCAAATTTCCAAATCTGAAATTTTCAAATTTTTAAATTCTTCAATTCTTCAGTTTTTCAATTCTTCAAATTTTCAATTCTTCAATTCTTCAATTTTTCAATTTTTAAATTCTTCAATTTCTCAATCCACAAATTCTCCAATTTCCAAATTCCTTATTTTCAAAATTATTGTACACACATAAATGATTCTATTCTTATACAGATGAATTATAATTAAAAGTGTGTTATGTTTTAATCAAATTTTCTTAACAACTTTCATAATTACTCTGTGCATATACACTTACACAATTAAACACTTAACCTTAAAAAATATGAAATTACAACTTAAAACAAACACTATATTTACTTATTGAATTATTATTTAAAATATTAATTATAAATTACAAATACAGATATCGTATCGTATAAGTATACAGATATTGTATAAATACTTTAAATATTAATTGCAAATTATAATTTGTTATATTATATTTTATTACATATCGTCAGATTTCGTTTCGAAACAAAAAACTGCAAAATTCAGAGATATAAATAAAAATATTTTAAGCATATGAACTTCGGCTAAAAGTCTTTTACTCTTTAGTAAATATCGAGCATGCCTAGGGGGTCTTTACCTTCTTTTTGCTGGGTTCTCAATGAATTTATGGGCAA